CTGCTATCTGCTAGATCCAGCTTTATTACAATGAACCAATTCATCACAAAGCTGCAGGATGACATCCACTATAGTCTTATTAAAGAAAATTAAAATATAGTATGAGAGAGGCCTTAGTCTGGGCAAGATCCTGAAAAGCTAAGCAAGTTCTAAACAAAAAGATTCTACAGATAAAAGAAACTACTCTAGAAAGTGAGTACAGACAGAAAGAAAGTTCATCTATAGCTATGCATGTTCCTTGGAGATGTCAGTCAGCTACTGCTAAAGCACTTTTCTGTATTGAATTTCAGACAAAGTGAGGACACATATAATACATTCTAAACCACAGGCAACTGAGGATATGATCACAAAAAGATCGCCACAGGGTAAAAGCTGGCCATTAGATATCTTGACACAAACAACTTCTCCAGTTTCTAGGAATTAGACTTGTCTAGGACCTTTAATCTACAGCTGAATAATTTCAGAAAAAAACACCATTTCTAGAAAGCTAGAAGGCAATGCAAAGCTCTCCTCTACTCTGCGTTTAATTAAGGACAAAATCAATCTATTTCTAAGCTTCTGTAAAGTGTGACTATCTTTACAGTACAACGTTCATACTGTACCATAACCTACCTCACAATATTCGGTAAATGAGAACCAGTAACTGGACGTGACTCTTGCAAGCAACAGCTGTGGGAGTACTTCCCAGCTTTTTAGTCTCAAAAAGCCTCCATGAAGCAATGATTTGCCATTAACCCCAAATCTGAACTCTCCGATTAAAATCTTGCAAGGGCTGCAGTGACAGTCTGAAGAGTTCTTGTTAATAATTACTTCAGAGACAAGTATTCCCCTGGAGACATGGGGTAGCACGCCGCCTCCCAAAGTCAAGCTATCCATTAATCACAGGAGAAAAGAGGCCACCGAACACAGCATGTTACTGTTTACTAATTTTAACAGCTACAATACTTCTTCAAGGCGTTGTGCTCGCAGTCACCCTGTGTGGTCTTGCAAACACTCAGGGCCCCAACCTCTAAGCTCTGACTTCCCTAACAAGGACTCCACAATACTCGCACTCACGTCCCATTGAAGACTTCAACCCAGTTAAATGGATCAAACAGGCAAAGCCACTGCTCTTGCCTTAAAGAGGACTGCAGTGACACAAGTCAGGCTAAGAGTAAGCAGCAGCTGCTTTGACTTCAAAAGTTAGTTAGCCCAAGAGGATTCAGCCATTATGTTTAAGCACAAAGGAAAAGCCCAGCTATTACATTATTTGATGATACCTAGGTAAAAGTTTATGCTATAATTCATAAAATTGTATTATAATTTGTGTGACTTAAGCATGATGCTAAGTACCTTCCAACTCGCAGTACAAAGGTCTGGAGCCTTACCCCTCTCTCAAAGGTCCAGGAAACAGGCAGCACGCATCCACAAACTCACTCAAGACAGCACCAGCCCTTGCAAGCATCAACTAATGTCATCAACTGAAGAAAACGCCCAGGTTTCTAATGCTTCTGCAAGCTGTACTGACAAGACAGAAGAATGAGACCTCCACCTGGGCCACTTCTGACACCTTTCTCTAACTGCCCCACCAGGCCAGTAGATACAGGACATGCTATCAGCAGTGGGACTTCACAGCTGAAAATCTACACCAGAGTCTGAAAATGCGCCTTATGCAGGGCCTAGAAAAATCTTCACATGCACTTCAGTTCTTGGGAGGCACGTACTCATAAACAAGCAAAGAATTTTCTTTACAGAAGTGGAAGAGTCAAATTACACTTTTTAAATGGAATGCAGCTGTTGCCAATCTACAAATAGCAGAAAGTTGACAACAATACCAAGACTTGAAGGGATACCCACAAATCTACACATATTTGAAAAATGTTTGGTGAAAATCTACTGGTGGAAGATAACAGTGCCTCCTACAAGGATCAGAACACTGTCCATCAGAAGTTACACAAGGTTTTTGTCCAGTACACTAGAGATATTTCCCTGCACCCCCAACCCCCATTAGTGTCATTAAATTCCTCACTCCCTTAAGCTTAAGGTAGAGAGGGCATTCCTCTGCTCGGCATAATCTGGCATACCACGTAAATCCCTAGGTTCCAGAACACATTTAGTGAAATAAAACTCATTTTCAGAAAGCCCTATACAGCAGGATGCCTGGGGCTCAGGCAGTATAAGACATGCAAAAACCAGTATCTAGGCAGACTGATGTTAAAAAAGAAAAAAAAAAAGACTAATTCTGAGCCAGTGCCATTAGTAACACAGCTAAGAACTCTTTAAGGAATCTATTTCTAACTTTGAGCTCTGTAAATCACTAGAAACAGGGACTCGTCCACAGTGAAGGTAAACAAAATATAAGGAAAAAAACACATTATCCAGCTTAAAGAACTAAACTTAGTTAATACAAGTTTATTAAGACAAAACGCTCTATAATGAAACCTCCAAACCAAAACTCAGTTAATACTGCCATTCCCCTTTGCAAAGCAGCAAACCTCAGGCAAACATCAATGATGTTATTTGCACAAGATGTAAAGTAGCACAAAATCAGTTCCATGATCTGCCTTAAATCCTAATATTCCATCACCTAAGCCAATACACACCTTCACACTTGGTCTGAGCCGTAGGCTTGTAGAGGTGCTAAGTTACAGGTACAGGTTTACAGTGCCCAGAGACAGAAGCATTAAGGTTCATCTTCCACGCTGTCTACCCTCACTGCTCACACACACCCCGTTTGCTTCATTCAGTATCTTTTTGGCACATACATACCCTCCTCCTCCTGCGGAGATTTCTTTTTGAATCCTCCATTCTTCTGGTTACTCCCCTGAGAACTTGAAGTAGTAAAATAGTAAGTGCTACCTGCAGGCAAGCAGAGTTAAGTAGTTACTACCAGAAGACCTCAGGAGACAGTGAGAGAGGAGGACTGAGGATGGCAGAAATACATGTGAGCTCCAAACGCAGAGAAAGCTAAGACCCACATGCACCCAAAGCACATAGCTTCATTCATGTGCCAAGGAAACGGGACAGCCTCGCCAGCGCAGTAATGGGAGGGACAGACCCCTTCAGTTTCCTTATGTAATATATATTTTTGACAACCCAATCAAAATATGGCTTTGTTCAGAGATGATTTTAATGTGGCAAAGAAAATAATTGGGAGAAACGTCTTCAGCATTGAAACACGTACACATTTCCCAAGGCATAAAACCACAGATAACACTGGTATGGTCAGTTAAGAGCAGCCTCACACTAGGAAATGTAAAGGCTTATGAAAGGAAATGTATATGCTAGAGTTAAATGCAGGTTTCTCAGTAAATGCTGTTAGGATATTCTAATAAAAGCCAAGAAAGTAAGGCTACAAACAGTAAGACTCACGGTTGCTGCTACAAAACAATAAGCGAAATAACTTTTTGCCAGGAAAACGCAAAAAATTCAGAAGGAAAACTGACTCGAAGACAGCAGCTTCAATTTCCTATGGTCATTTTCATGAAGAAAAGAGTAAACCCAGAAACTGGACTGCTTGCCCCCTGCTAGTTCCGCTAGAAGATTCACTGCCATTTGAAAGATTATACATATATTTTTACTTTAACTTAAAAAAAACCCAAGCCACCCTCTCAAAGGTAAAGCTGCCCATGCTCACCAGGCTCACATTGGCCAGAATAGCCAGGACCAGTTTTATTAAAACCTCAAAGGCATCAGCAAACTCTTATTCCCAAATTTGAAGAGGGTAGTGAGACGAATAATTGCTTTTGTTTTACCTTTCTGTGGTTTTGCTCCAAGAATTCAAATAACATTTTCTAACATATACTTTCAACTTGTTCCCATGCAAGGCTTTCAGCAGGGTCATATGATGTAATTTCTGACACAGGTGAATGACGATTTTGTCTTAGGCTTTGCTAATGAGGCAGAGAAAGATTCTCTACTTTAAAATCTGCAGTTTTAAAATTAGCTTTTAGGTCTAATGACTCAAGTGCTTGCTTAATCATGCCGAGTTCCTTGGGGAAAGATCCCATTGTTCATCCCTGTCATCAAACAAAAACCTAGAACCCTTGCAAAACGCACACAGCTCCCAAAGCCAAGAATAGAATAGCTTTATTTCAGTTTCAAGACTGCAGGCAGTGAAGGTAAGGAAAAGTCAATACTCTTACTAAATAAAACCTCTTCCCTCCTCCACCTTTACAGTTGCTCTTTGGGACTCACCTAAGAGATTCCAAAGCCTGACTGGATCTCGAATGATGTGTTGCTTCACCAGGATTCCACCGAGGCCTTGACGTGTGGGGGAAAGCGTTTGTGACAGAAGGCTCTGAGGAAGAAGATATAGAAAAAAGACAGCTATTGGAAAAGTATTGACTGCTCAACCTTCCTGTATGCAGTGAAACTAAGATTTCTAAATATGAAAATACTGTGGGTATGCTGCAAGACCAGCAGCTGGGAGACCTAAATATTATTCCTGGCTGTGCTGTGTACTTACCATGTGACTTTGAAGATGCTGTTTATAACCCAGTTTAAAGAAAGCATGTGTACAAATAGAAACATATACTCAAAACACTTGAAAACTGTATCTTTTTCCTCCTTGTATTTCTGTTCTTCATTCTAAAGATATGTTGGAAGTCAGCTCTTAAAATGCAGACACCCTCCCACAACAGGGAATCTTAAGGACTACTACTTTGTAACCCTGCTGCATGGCAGTACGGACAACGCAGCTATTTCCCCATGGTAATTCAGCAGGCATCCTGCAGTTGATGTTCACACTTAAAGGCAAGTTCGCAGCATTTGAACTAACGTTTACTAATATTCTCATTGAACACAAGTCTTGTCCCTTCTCCAACGTGGGATCCCTGTCTCACCCCCCTTCTACTGCACAGGCACAAATTTCTGTGCAGCAAACCAGACAGGGACACAGGCTAGGCTGGAATCCCTCACCCTTTTTTTCTGGTTTGCTGGGCAGCAACACAACAGCTTGTGCTGGCCTGAGAGGGTAACCTCTTGGGATCAATGCTTTATAGAACAGAACAGCTTAGACTAGTTTAAACTGATCACACAAAAACCTGGCATGTCTCACAAGGCTGTCCCACAATTGTTCTTCCTCCATTGCCTACTTGGACTGCCAGTGCTTTTTCACTGGGCTGCAGAAAAACACACAAAAAAAAGTCTTAAATCATGTTGGAGGCCTCGCTTAAACAAGAACCTTGCCTTCTACACTAACGGCTGTGTTGGCAAGCCCTGCGATACCAGCAGCACAGCAAAATGGGGAAAATACATCTGTAGCACCCACCAACGTGGTGGGTGCTTATATCACAAGAGACACAAACAGTCAGCAGGAATAAAGTTAGAAGAATACCTTTAATTAACGTTTCCTTGCTTATGACGGCCTAGGTGTTCTCTTCATAGGGTATTTCCCCCCCAAGCTGTTGCTACATTGCACCGAAATGATGGGCCCTTGCGATGACCTAACCTGGAAAACCTCCCAAGGAAAGCTGCCTCGAAGCGGGAGCCCGTTTAAACACAAAACCGCGAGCGCTGACCCAGCTCCCTCTTCCCCGGTGCTCCCGGTCCCGCGGGGAAGGCCCCCCGCCGGGCCGGGCCATCCCCGGGGGGACAGTGCCTTCGGCGGGGGGCAGCGGCGCCGGTCAACCGGCGGGGCCGGCCCGGGAAGGTGACTGAAGAGGCGAGAGGGGCTCCGTGTGGCGGCGACACCGGGGTGCTCCATCCCCCGCCGCCCCGTTACCTGCAGGCCGCGTCCCGCGCCGAGGGCGCCGCTACCGGGCCGCAGGCGGGCCCAGGCCGGGGCGGGCAGCCGCCAGCAGCCGCAGCGTCCCCGGAGCAACAGCAGCGCCATGACCCGCCAGCCTGTCCCGCTTTGCCTGGAAACCTCCGAGGAGCGGGCGGCAGCTAGCGAGCGCTGAGGGGAGAACCGCACCGGAGAACCGCTCCCGGGAGCCGGAGGGCCTCGGCGGGGACGGAAGTCCTCGGTGAAGAGCGAGCGGCCATCTTGGAAACGGGCCGGCGGCCGCCGCGGCTGCCATGCCTCAAGATGGCGGCCGGCCGCGCGGGGGCTGCTGGGCTGGCCTGCACCGTTACCGCGGTAACGGCGAGCCCCGGCCGCCCAGCTTAGGCCAGGCCCCAGCCCGGCCTCGGCCAGGCCTCCCCCCGCAACAGATTTAGGCAGGAGGAGATCAAACACCCAGGGGGAGCAGGCAAGTGGCTGCAGCCACCCAGCATCGCCTCAGGGAGAGTTGGCGCTAGGGAAGCTGGCAGCGCAGAGTCTGGTGGTGTGAGTACACAACTAGCCCCGCTCTGGGGTTTTTATTGCTCTTAGTGTCACGTCCTACATAATTGTAATGGCTGGGAAAAGAAGAAAGAAACAACCGCTGCAATCTTAGATTCAACAGAGAGGAAAGAAGCCAGATCCCTTTGCAGCTGTTGCTGAAGAAGACTCCCCTTCTGATAGCTCAAGGTATGAATTAGCCCCGATGGAAAACAGCCTTTAGTATCTGCAGCTGAGTGTGATGGGTTAACTGGTATTCTCTGAAGTAAAATGAGTGAACAAAAGTATAGACATTTATATGTTTGCTCTTTGTCAGACAGGATAGTTGGCTCCCGTGATCTATCTTCTGGGGAAAAACCATTACAAGGTGTTTGACAACTCACAGTAGCCAAGCTACAACATGACTGATAAGTCTTTTTTAAACTGTTCTGTTAGTGCACGTGTGTGGTTCTAATAGTGGTGGAAACCCCCCTCAAGCATTACAGCAGCACGTGTCAAGGTTATGGGTGGTGTTAAGTTCCCTATGTACAGATACCACGAAGGTCATTGTATTTTAAGCCCCTGATCCTAAATCTTGTGTAATCTCTTCCTATTTTGCACTAGTGCACAGCAGAGTGGGTGGGCTCGATGTCCTCTTCTGAGTATTTCTTTGGGGCGGGTAGGTACTTCAGAGTGAACATCACCTTCCTCCTGCCACAGTTAGACCCTTTTTGCCCTACTGAAGTGAACATTCTGTTTGCCGGGCCTGATCTCTCTTGCCTGCTTCCTTTGATGTGCCTTCAAGAAGTCATGTTTCTTCTTTCCTATCTTGCTGACCAGGATGGTTTCTGCAGCTTTTTGTCCCCCTCTCCTGTCCATGTCTCTCCCTTGAGGTGGCTCCAGGGCAACTTTTAGGTATCGTCACTATTGTTAGTTCTCCCAGCTCACCTGTCCTAAAGTATCTCAGGCATTCTTGAGTGGGTGGTTGCAGGACTACATAAAATAGTAATAATTATCTCCCTTCCCAGCAGGTCTGAATTAGCATCCTCTTTCTAGAAGAGTCTCTTAGGATTTTAATTGTCATCTGCCCCCTGGGATGTGTCTAAGTAAACCTTCTACCAGCAAGGTCTATTAGCATGCTAATGTCCTCCTCACTCCTGGAAGTCTCTTTGTATCGCTGGCTTAATCGTCAAAGAGCTTAATTTACAGACACACAATTAAACTGGTTGCAATTAATCCATATTGGCTGGTCATAGCTTGCAGTGTTGCACTGGGGATGTGACAGCCGCTGGGGAGGCACCAGCGGCTCCTCCACCCCACGGATCCCACCTGGCGTGGCCGGACAGGCCGAGCTGCGCGGGGAGATGCTGTGTGGCCTGCATGGCTACCTACCTCCACTCCACACTGGCCACGGGGGCTCTTCTGGCAAGCTCCCTGTCTGTAAAGAGGGAGGATTACCTGCGCCTCCTCTGCCTGGGGAGGAATCTCTGTCCTGTGTCTGGCCAAGGCTGGAGGCTGCAAAACCCAGTGCTGGCTCCTTCGAGGCTGCAAGGAGCCCAGGTCTGACACGGGCGCGCACAAAGCTAGAGGTGGGGTGGGAGCTGCGGTGGCCCGAAGTCACTAGGCCAGGGAAGGACAGCAGAGAAAGTTCCAGCTCAGCACAAACATGGGCAGAGCACAAGCCCTCTGCTCCGTGCCAGCCCGTGCACGACACCCTGCTTGGGTGGGTGGCTGTCACAGAGACGAGCGTCACACCTTCACCCATCTGGCAGAGAGATCCGTGGCAAGGGGTTATTTGCACTCCAGCTGTGTTTGGAGGAGGAAACTGCTTGTTTAGAAGTGCTGACTGATGGGGGAGGCTCCCTCCACCTTAGGCACAGAGCAGAGAAGTGCGGGGTTTCCTGGGGTGAAACACAGGATACAGCAAAGTGCACCAGGAACCAAGGGGCTGTGGGGTCCCCCAGTGCCCCCCACCCCTGCAGCGTACCAGCACCACACACATCCCTACCTCTGCCTCACTCAAGGGATGTCACACCTCGCTTCCCTCCATTTTCTGATCAGATCTGTTGCTAATTAGGCCTGATCTATTTTTAAAGAGTTGCATCGTTTAAATAGAATTGCAGCCCGATCAGAAGCGAAGCAGTGCAGTTTGCTTAGACAGGAGTTTACTGACTTGCCGGGCTGACCTGAGAGAGACCCAAATGGGTTTCATTATGCCTGCCTTACAGCTTTGCTCCAGCTTCAGTGGAGAGAAATGTGCACCCATTTAACGATGGAGGGCAATGAAAGCCGAATGGGTCCAAACTCCAGCACAGACGACCACCCAGCTGAGTCTGGGTGGGCTCACCGACTGAAACAAGCAGCATTTCGGGTCTGTAGGGCAGCTGGGCTCTCCCTGTGATGCTCCCAGTCAGCAGATGCAAGCCTCGATGTGACAAAACCCTACGGAACTATGAGGACTGCTTATTTACAGACGCACCGTGTAGCTGGGGTTGACGTGATTCCTATTCCTCCTTTCGTACTGTGCTTCAAAGGCAACCAGATGATGAAGCACCAGGAAGGAGGGCTGGGGATCTTTGCCTCGCTGGTGCCAACACAAAGTGATGCCAGAAAGGAGAACCGAGAGGCTTTGCCCTACGTGCAGCCAGCAGCCGCCATGGCGTGGGCGGCTCGGGCTGCGCTGCGTACGCGGAAGCGAGTGCTGTCCTCTCTGTGTGTGCGAGAGATGACCTTGGGAAAGGTGGCTTCAGTCACTGCCCTTGGACTGGCAATATGCTCCTTTGGGAGTAAGCCAATATTCTGAGAAGACAGATATAACCTGATCCAGGCTTGGCCTTGCTGGGATGTGCTCCAGCCATGACATCACTCAGTAATGCCACGTGTATTTACTACTGGGGGAAGGTGATGGATTGGAGTCTGAAATCCCTGGTTTATCTCCTGAGCAGGTTAGGAACAGGAAGCAGCATTAGCAGCCCCATCTTCTGTTTTTCGGGCCAAGAGAAATCAGTTTCTACAGCCAACACAGCCCTCAGCTCTGCTTCCTCTGAGAACTCCCATCTCCTGTTTCGATGATCCCCGTAAGACAGCCTTGGCACCCTTGCTCCTGCCCCCCAAGCCTCAGGAAGCTCCTTGCAGGATGTCATCACCCCCCTCAGCTTAGCTCAGAGTAATTTCAACACAGCATTGTGCCAGCTGAGTGAACGGATACCTGGAGTCAGGTGGCCACCGCACCATCCACAGACTTCACATCAATAATGAATCAAAGGATTAAATGTAGAGCTGAAGCTGCTAGAAGGTAAATTCAGACTTTCATTTAAAAGATGAAAAATTGCTGTTACCCACCCAACAGTGTAAGCCAGGACTCTTCTGTGGCAGGACAAAAATGCACAGCTTGGTGCTGGCTAGGAGGCCCCCAGCGCGTTCCAGCACCCTTCAGCAGCGTGCATCTCTGTCACATACCAGCTGTTTTTTTTTTAGATTACTTCTTTGCAGATGACAAGTCAAGGTCAAGGGATAGGTGCTACCTTCCAGCACAGCAAGGCCAAGTATCCACGAAAGCCTTAGGCTCAGGAACAAAGGACGTGCTTGAAAGACCACACGTCCCTCAAGCACAGTGAAACTCCTCACCGGGGAAAAATCGGTTCGGCAGACAGCCTTTTTCTATGAGCCAGCCCAAAATCATCACACCTATTCCTCCAGGAACAGCTTGGGATCACTGCAAGTTCCAGTGCTTCCTGTTGCCATTGCCAGCCCCGCTTCCCGACCTGCTCCTCTTGACTCATGGCACGTAAACTGCTCCTCCCTGGGGGCCAGGAAGGCACCCCCACCCCACGGCGAGGCAGCCAACAGGCTTAAGGCATAACTGGGACACAGTGCTGGGGTACAAACTTTTATCTTTGAGTCACCTCTAAAACCAGAGAGTTTAAGATAGGTAGGTGACAGATGGCCACAGGCAGGGGATCACAGGGAATCAGCCATACAGCAGCAGCGACTGAACCGTCTGCCAGTCACAGCTTACGAATCGCTAGAAAAGCAAAGTGAACGCAGGCGAGAAGGAGCAACGCTCTGACAGAGTGACATGGGTACCCCTCCGCTTAGCTCGCAGGGGTAGAGCTGGAGGGGGAAATTGCTTGTTTGTGACTTGAAGGCCACGAATGAGCAGATTGCTCCATGGGAGTGCACTCCCTGGAGAGCTGCTGAAGCCTGCACAGCTCAGGAGAAGCCCAGGAACCCATCTGTGTGCGGGAGGTGGCTGAAGTCATCTCCAAACCCCACAGACTGGAGGAGGTCAGTAAGCTCCAAGCGAGCAACTGTCACTCCACACCCCTGAAATCCATAAGCAGACGAGAAACCTGAAGCCTGTCATTAGGAATCATAAAAACAGTAATTAGAACAGGATTGTCATGAGTTCACGCCTAGAACATCAATACAAGGCATTTACGCAGCAGCAGGGGACCCCTACTCTCAGAAAGCAGCATCCTCTAGGGATGCAGGAGGCCTAAAGCTCCACAGACTTACTATTTGTGTAGGCATAAGGTCCTGCAGGGAACCACGTAAATAGATTTACTATCCACAGAGCTCTGAGGAGTCCAAAAATACTGCTGCCTGCGCAGCGCAAAGGCACAGTGTAGCTCAGGAGTTAAATCAGCTCCCAGTTCGCTGGCTCCTCCTGTCCTGGGCCCCAGCATGTGGTCCTGGTGCTTCGCTGGGCTAATGCTGCAACTCAGCTCATTACACAGTGGGCTGCATCGAAGAGTTAAACTTTCAGAAGAATGCTGATTTTGGTACGAGTGAGCATTAGTTTAGCCTTATTGTTTAATCACATGTCATAGAGCTGTGAACAACCACCTTGGATGAAAGCTTAGGCTTTTATTTCTTAATGGCATCACAAGCAGAAGGGCTTGTTTCAAGTTGGAGCTTGTCCTTTAACAAAAAACCAAACAAGGATGGCTTGAAAGTAGTTTTATTTAAGGAAAATCAAGATTGTGTGCAGAGTCAGAGAGGTTTCTGCTGCAGTACCAAGAGCATCAGCTGTACTCCTTGCTGGCTTTCCAAATGGCTGCCTTTCTAAATGACTGCTTTGTTTGCCAAAACTATCTCTCTTCAAAATGTTAATAGATGACATTAATTAAAACATGAGCCAAGCTTAAAGTAAAGGTTCTTCTAATCAAAATTCTTCTGAAGTTTGATTCTCTTGGCCTCTTTGGTGTTGGCACTTGACTGGTCACACAGGATTTACCCTGGTGTGTGACTGTAGTAGTCACAAATCACACATTACCTAATCTATTAAAAATAGATTCCCATCTTTACATCGTGATAGGAGCTGAATCAGCAGAGAACTGCACCCACATTAACACAGACCAGGTATTTTTGCCCTTATGGCTGACATAATGGCTCCTTCCATCACGAGGCAGTTGCTAGAGAGCTTCGAGGGGGCTCAGCTGAAGTAGTGAGATGAATATGGTTACCCATGGCTTGCAAAAGCAGGTGAGCGGCTGATGCGAGTGCCACCTCCAAAGTTACAAAGGGAAGGAGTAACAGAGCAAGGACCAAAGGGTCACAGAGCCCTCTCCCCGAAGTTAGCGTCCTTTCAGTTTGCTGTGACAGATAGAAATAGGCCTGGAAGCACATTCCCCAAGTGGCCTAATTTCTCTGCCCTCACGCAATGTTCTCTTTCCTCAGCGCCAGAGTATTTGTTTTATTTTAGGATCCGTGAGCTCACAACCTTTAGTGAAGGATAAAGGTGCTCAACAATTAACTATAGTTTATTTTTTTTCTTCTTAAGTATTGCAATTAAGTTGCAAGGAGCAAAAGCCATGCCAGGGTAACAAAACCAAGCAGGTTAAACTTCCTCATCACAGCGGTCTCGCCTAAAAAACCAGCAGAACAGCCCCCAACTGAAATCACTCCCCCCTCACTCCCGCTGTTAGCTTTCTTTCACCAAGCACTTTTAATGTCCCTCCCTGAAATAGGTTGATAGTCCATGCTGTTGTGTTCAAATAGAAGAAGGTCAGGATGACACAGAAAGGATTTAACTTCCTCCCCAGCACTGTTATCTTTGACCTGGATGACATTCAAGGCCGTCAAGGAAGCCGTTACAGCCAACTATATTTAGGAAATGACAGAACATATTTCCCCTCTCGTCTACTCACTCAGAGGCACCAGAGAGGCAAACATTTATTTGCAGTGTTTTCAGTGGGGTATGACAAGAAGCCTAATGGAAGGGAGGACAAAAAACCCCCAACAACCTTTCTTTTGACTGGTTTAGTAGGTCTTATGGAAGAGGAAGATGGGTAGGGATAAAAAGACTAAGCTTAAGTAGAACACAGGACCAGCTTAACAGGCTCAGAATAAATCTCTCTCATGCTGTTATTTAACAGTGAAGTCGGACACGTGCTCCTGAGCCACTCCTTCATCACTACCAAGCCCAGCAAAGAGATTTTTCTTCCTGGGGGACTACTGGCATCCTCAGCACTTGAAAACAATCCTTAAGGCTGCCAAATGTGTGACTCGAAGTGGAACTGCAAATGCCAAAAAAGCAATCACAGTTATGGGTCATGCTCCTGGAAGAGGGGGTTAAAAAACCAGAACCATTACTGATGAGGTCACTGGTGGAGCTGCTGCCTCAAGGGTTCCCCATCCTCATCAACCAAAACAAAACGCAGTGACGCAGCTGTGCAGGCGGCTGCCACCCACAGCCGGGCACCTCAGCCACCTGGGCTGGGTGGGGAGCCACGCAGTGTCCCCATTTTGTACTTGCTGTGAAGATCCACTCCATAAACAGGATTCTTCCCTGGGGGATACCGCAGCATTTGGTTTACCTTGATGACCTGAAGGGACCCTGGCACTAGATGTGTAGTACAAAATACAGATACACAACAAGCATTCCCGTTCTGCAGGACTGTGCTGAGCTCAGGCACGAGCAGCTGCATTTGGGTAACAGGATCTACTCGTATTTTTGGAGTTACCTTAGTGCTGGGAGAGCACAAATGTAACGGGTGGGAACACAGTGGCTCTCAGGAAATCCCACCGCCTCGCCGGGCTCAAGGCACCGCCGCAGCCGGACAGAAGGACAGACACCAGCAGTGTCAAGTACAAGAACGGAGCCTCACACGCGCCTTTACTCCTGCTGCTTCCACAACCCCCGTGGGACAAAGGCAGGAGGCTTACCCGGCAAGAGTGACCATCCTCATCTGGAGAGCCAAGGGTTTGGTTGTTTAGAAGAGATCCTGTAAATAAAAACAGCGCAAAAGCCTCTCGGTATTGTGGAATCAACACTTGAAAGGATCAAAAAAAAAAACCCAAACAGGGATAAACCAACACAGCCCGGTGAGGAGCAGGAGACGTGTCCCAGGGCTGAGAGGGAGCGCAGCCAGTGTTGATGTGCCCTCGCTGTCCAGTGGAGCTCGCCCCGGGGGCTGCGCTAACCCCGGCCCCGCGCCCTCCGCTCCAACCGGGGTGTCAGTGGGCCACCCGACACAGAAACCAGGGTTTCTGTCGATAACTTCCAAGGGGGGCTTCTCACTGCCACGGCCTCTTCTGAAGGCAGCAGCAGAGCGTTCGGCATCGAGAACTTTTAAATGAGAACGTCGTGAAGGGATTCGGCCCCCAACCGCGAAGGTGGGGATGCCGCGCTGTTAGAACGCCCGGGTAGCGGCGGGATTGTAACAGCGAGCCGATGCCCGGTGCCTCCCGACAGGCAGCACAGTAACGGGCCGCTTACCGTGCCCCGGCGCCCACCCCGACCCGCGGAACCCAGCACCCCGGGAGCAGACGGGCACCCACCCAGCCTCGCCGCCGAGTTTCGGTGCGCAAGTGACCAACAGCCAAGGCACCGGTCACCGACCTCTCGACCGAGCGGCACCGGGGAGTCCCCAGTGGCACAAGGGGAAGCGGCGGGGGGGCTGCGGTGGGCTGAGGGAAACGGGATTGAGCAACGGGAATGCTCCGGGGGGGAGGGAACGGACGGACGGAAGGGAGACGGTGCCGGTAAGGTGACCAGCCAAGCGCTGTACCGGGGCGGGACACGGGCCAAACCCCGCACAGCCGCTCGGTAGTACCGGGGGGGAAGCGAAACGGAATCCCGGGGCCACCCCGGTGCTCGGCGCCCTCCGCGCTGGCCCCGCCCCGGAAGCCGCCGCCACGCTCACGACCCCTGAAAAAACCCACCAATGATCTGCCGCGCCGGTGGGCGACGTCGGCCAATAAGCGATCGCCGTTGCTAGGCCCCGCCTCTCGTCCTCCCGTCGTTCCCCGTTCCTCCCCCCTCCCCATTCCTTCCCCCCCCCCCCCCCCCCCGCTTTTTTTTTCACGTCAGCGCGCCGACGCTGGGTCCGCGCCCCGAACCAATGGGGCGCGCCGACGCGGCGGGCCAATGAGCGGCGGCGTCTCTCGGTGGTGCGGCGAGCGGGCGGGCGGCAGCGCTGCGAGCCGAGGGGCCGAGGCCGAGCGCGGCGGGGCCATGGAGCGCGCGGCCGGCACGCGCCGCCGCCACTGCCCGCGCCCCCTCCGTTAGTGCCGCCGCAGCACCCCCCCCTCTTCCCTTCCCCCCCCCCCCCTTTTCCCCCCTTCCCTCCCTTTCCCCCGCCGCTTCCTCTATGCGGCGGAGCCGCAGGCCTCGCTCCCCCGCGAGGCTGCCCTCGGCCCGCTGAGCCCGGAGCGCCGGTAAGGGGGCGGCGAGGAGAGAAGGGGGGGGGGAATACGGCGTCGGGTTGAGGGGTGGAAGCGAAAAGTGAGGAGAGTCTGTGGAGATTTGGGGTGTGGGGGGTGTGTGTGTGGAGGTTAGGGGCTGTTTGGGGTGAGGAACGGCTGGGGGAGAGGGAGAAGCGGGGGGTGCTGGAAGGGGAGAGGGGCTGGTGGGGGGAGCAAGGGGAGGGAGGGGGCTGGCTGGGGTGTGTGTGGGGTTAATATGTGGGGAGGGTGGGGGGGAGCCGTGGAGAGTGCGGGGGCTGGTAAATGAGGGGTGCGGAGGCTTTTGGGGGGTGGGAGGGACACGGGGTGCTGCGTTGAGGTCGTGGTCCTCCTACACCCCCCCCCCCCCCAATCCAGCTTTTTTTTTTTTTTTTTTTTTTTTTGGGACGGGGACGCGGCAGCGTGCGGAGGTGCGGTGGTGGTTGGGGGAGGCAGGAGGGGAGCCCGCATTTTGGGGTGAACGCTGTGCGGGGAGGAACAATACCAAAAGTTGTCTGAAATGGTAATTTCCGTTTCCCATTTCATCATCCCTGGGTAGGCGTTAGCCCTGCGTGTGTGTGCGCAGAGGATGGAGCTGAACCGAGCTGCCGCCAGCCAGCCTGGCTGATCTGCGCTTATTTATTTATTTTCCAGTTTAATCTTTAAATTGCTTGGTATTTTTCTCCTCGGAGAAGCCTTTGTGTGGCGGGGAGGGGCTGCTCGACACCTTTGCCCCTTAGCAAAGGGGGGGGGAGGAAGGGAAAAAAAAAAAAATCCCAACCCAAAACAGCTGCACTTCTGCAGTCCAGAATTAACCTCCCCCAGTCCGATAGATTGATTGCATGTTTAGAAAGGCAAATCGCCGCTCTCCCCCACCCCTGGCCTCGAAGGGAGCCGGGATGAGCTGAGCCCTTGATGCCCTCTGCCCTTTCCCAGAGAGAGCAGCTGTCCTGCGAGGGGGGTGTGCGTGCGGATTGAAAATCGGCCTGTTCATTGAGGCCCAGGAGTCGGTGTGTGTAGGGATTGGTTTCTACTCTTAAGCTTGGAGATCTGTTTTGATATCCAGTTGCAGGAAAGGGTTCCTCCCCCCCTCCTGGTTTTGTACACAAAGTCCTTTCTTACCACTGGGGACATGGTCCTATAGGCAGCAAACACATTCCAGGCAGCTCTTGAAGCAAAATCCCCTCCTGAGATGGCTTCTGAAATTTGGTGTAGACTTTTTTTTTTTTCCCCCCAGCGCTGTGTAGGCAAAGATACTTAGCTGAAGACGTTTTGTGAATGTTAAGCTTTGTAGCGGCTGTATGCTTTCTTGAAATTTATATAAATTTAAGGAACTTGGAATTAAACGTATTTTTCATTTTTTCTGGTTTGTGCATAAAATGGAACATTTTTATAGACTCACTCCAATTATTTCCTTTTTCTGGGGGGAAAAAAAAAACACTCCATGGAGTCATGGAGAAGGAAAAGGAGATTAACTCTCGCGTGTTTTCAAATGGCATTGATACATTCTTTTGTGTGTGCTCTACTAGGAACTAAATATTTGCCTTGATTAGCTTGAAAAAGTTGGCGTTTTTACAAAATGGATTTACTGGGCAGATTAAAGGTGCGTGTTGGAGCACTTTTAAATGGTTGTGATGGCGTGTGGTAGGAGGCTTTAAAATGCAGTGTTGAGCGAGACCTATGCTGACTTCTCTGTCTGGGCAGGGAAACTCTTAGGCACCTGGTTTCGTTAAGCCTCTGAAGCGTCGCCCTGAAGCTGCGTGACCTGTTTTCTTTCTGTGGGAAGCGCTCCGTCGGTGGAAGATCTCGCTTGGAGGGGTGGTCTGTGTCCGCGTGGGTGCACGCTCGGGGCTCTGGTGGAGCTGCTCCCAAGGCACAGTCACCCTCACGGCTTCCGTGTGTCTGTCCCCAAAGCAGAGCCTCGACTGCGCTACCCTGTCGGTCCTGGCGGCTGCTCTTAGGTGTGTCTGGGGTTTGCGGAGCTCAGCTTTTTCAATGAAGAGATGCTCTGGGTCTCTTTGCTTCTGGGAGAACTTGTCAGTCCTAAAGGGAGGTAGCGCAGGAAGGTATAAAACTTGCCAGGGCACATCTTGTCTGCGTCCTCCCTGGAGAAGGGCGGTCTGGGCTTCATCAGAGTTTGCTGTGAACCTGTGTTGTGAGGCTAGCTGGGACTTGCATCACCTCCAGACTCGTCTGAGTAAGCGCAGAGGGTTTGGTTTGTGAAATTCCCAGCAGGCTGAGTTGCCCATGCAGCGAACAACACATTGGAGTTTGGAGAGCATACGAGCCATTAGAATTCTACCCTCCAACTTCATCAGTTCCCAACTATTTTCTTATTTATTTCTGTTCTGAATAGTGATTACAGAAGCCCTGGTCACTTAAGCGTTAGCTGCTTTGACAGGCTGGAAACTGTAGATGTTAAGTTTCGTGTTTCACAATTGGTTTCACTGTTCACTTCTGCTTCTGCTTTTAAAAATGAACGCTTGTCTGCATCTCTGTTTCATAAAAACGTGGCTCAGGGTGAATTGATTTTTTTTTTTTTTTTTTGGTGCTGCTTTTTGTTTTTGTGCTGTTGTAATATCATTTTCTCAGACTTAAACATACAGATTGTCCAGTGTGAGTGTTGTTTTTGGGTGGGGGAAGAAAACTCAAATAACAAAACCAAAAAACCCTCCAGCAAAGCTCTAGACTTCATTTCTTCCTTTGTGTGTGGTAGGCAACCTGTTAAGATTATTTCATTTTCTACTTACGCTTTAATTGACTAAGTCCCCAAAAATGCTCCCAAACAAAACGGAGTGTGTCATGGTGTCGTGCAGTGTTTTTCTGCTGTTCAGTAGAGCAGACAAATGTATTTCTCTAGGGTCAGTGAAGACTAGTCGTGTTAATCAATACTGTACCAGCAGTGTTCCCTTTTCAGTAAACCAGATGGACTACTTACAACTGGTGGTGATTATTTTAACTGTGTAATTGTAACATGGCTGCGTGATGACAGTGTTTCCTGCAGATACTTCAAAGGAAGGTTCCTGACAAGTATATCTTTACAGCGTTTAATCTGTACTCTTTGTCTTTATGTTGTGGCTTTTGGACATGTGTTTGAAGTACTAAGATTTTTTTTTTTTTTTTTACCTCCTGCTTTTCTATACATTAAAAGGTGGCAGTACTCTATAATAATGAGGTGTCTCAAGCAGGGGTATAAAACCAGGATTCTGGGGGCTCCCCCAGTGGTGGTATTAGTTTCTATTAGTTTTAGGTCCATGCGGTGACTAAGGCAAAAATGAGGAAGAGCTTTAAGTTACTGTGAGGAAATGGCAGTATTTTTTTTTTTTTTTGAAGGAGTGCTTGAATTTTCTCTAAGTGTGCATGTGGCTCTGTTTTAGGGAAAATACGTTCTGTGGCGACTCGAGTCTTAACTGGGACGGTCTAATTACTCGGTGAAGAAATCCTTCTCCAAGGGAAGGAAATGCACAGGACTGGCGCTGGTTAATTACATTGTGTAAAATTACCGAGTGCCAGCTTTCTTACGAGGTTCGCCCCTCTTCCTCTCTCCATGCCGAGTACCTGAATTTCAGGCTCGACAGTCTGCCTCATGGTTTGAAATTCTTCCTCAGTATTAAGATTTAATGGTGGTAGATACACAGCAAGTAGTGGCAGGTACTGCTTTTCTGTAGAGCAAAGCAAATAATACTTGGAAATATTTACATGGTGGTTGTTGTTCGAATAGCATTTCCCTTGATGAGGCTGTAGTAAAGGTGGCTTGTCTGCTACCTCCATCGCAAGTGAGAATTGTGTGGATTTCAGTTGTAAAAGGCTGTGGAGAGAAGCTGGTGTCTCCATAGCAAAGATTTTAGTGTTTCGTGATAACCTCTTGTATATTTTTACCCCATCTAATTTAAAACAGTCTGCACGACACTTTACAGGAATGATCTGTATGCGGCTTTTAAATATTTTCTTTTTCCTGCAAGAGAGATGAGCAGCACAGAGCTGCTTTTTCTGAGGGTGCAGAGCACTAGGATCCTCAGCCAAGTGTTATGTAATTTGTATGCCACTGATGCATGGTCATAAAAAAAATACTTGCCTAAATATTAAAGGAAAGCTTGTGTAGTCAATGATTTGAGATCACAAGCATCCTAAACAGTATGGGTTTGTGCAGCTAGAGCCCTGGTAAAGTATGCTTGGGCAAAATGCTGTCGCTGGTATCCTGCTGGGAAGCGTGGAGGAAACTGTCAGCACCCATGGTCCGGAGGCTCTTTTTGAGTGTATTTGACTGTACCTGGAATTTTCAGCCTTTCCCGTGTGAGACCTGGTGTTTTCTGGTGTATGTTCTCATGCAGCTGTTGGATACTTAAAAATCTTCATTTGTCTGAGTCTGGGTGGTGGTGCTAGC